TTACACACCAGTTACACACCAGTAACATGCCAATAACACCAGTAACATACCAGTGACGCTCCAGTAACACCAGTAACATACCAGTGACACTCCAGTGACACCAATAACATGCAAGTTACACCCCAGTAACACTCCAGCAGCACACCAGTAACGTACCAGTTATACGCCAGTTACAGCACTAACACCCCACTTACACCCCAGTAACACCCCCATAACACTCCAGTGACACACCAGTTATACCAGTAACAGGCCAGTAACATTGATAACACACCACTTACACCCCAGTAACACTCCAGTAACACACCAATGACACCAGTGACACCCCAGTAACACCAACAACACGCCACTTACACCCCAGTAACACTCCAGTAACACACCAGTGACACACCAGTAACACACCAGTGACACACCAATAATACACCAGCTACACATCAGTAACACATCAATGACACCACTGACACTCCAGTTACACCAATAACACCCCAGTGACACTCCTGTAACACTCCAGTGACACACCAGTTACAACAGTAACACACCAGTAACACCAGTGACACGCCAGTAACATCCCAGTAACACCACAGTGACACACCAGTAAAACACCAATAACACCCCAGTAACACCAATAACACCCCAGTAACACCAATTACACCCCAGTAACACCAATAACACACCAGTAACACCAATTACACGCTGCTTACACCCCAGTAACACTCCGGTAAGACGCCGGTCACACATCCGTGGCACCCCAGTGCCCCCCAGTGCCCTCCAGTGCCCCCCCCTGCCCCCCCCCACCCCCCCGTCGCTCCCAGGCCCCCGCCCGCTCCAGCCCCGAGCGCAGCCCGGGCCGTGCTCCGGGCCGGGCCCCGCAGCCCCCGCTCCCGCCGTGTCCCCCCGCGTCCCTGCCCGTTCCCCGCCGTGTCCCCCCGTGTCCCCGCCGTGTCCCCGCTCCCTGTCCCCCCGCTCACCGGCGCTCCCGGGGCCGCCCCCGCGCTCCGGCCCCGCCCGGGCCCGGCCAGACGCGTTTCCGCTGCCGGCGGGGCCGCGGGGCCGCCGGGACCTGCAGTCCCGGCACGGGCATGGCCGGGAGCGGCGACAGGACCGCCCTGGAGACCGTGAGAGGGCAGGGAACGGGGGGGCTGAGCGCCCCGGGGGCAGCGGGGCGGGATCGGGATCTGCCGGCGGGGAACGAGCGAGGCACGGCCGCGTGTTGTGCCGGGGCAGGGCCGGGTTGGGGGCTGGGGAGGTCTCCTCGTGGGAAGGGTTAATCCGGCCCTGGCGGGGGTGCAGTCCCCATCCCCGGGGGGATTTAACAGCCCTGTGGATGTGGCACTTGGGGACGTGGGTCGGTCGTGGCCTTGGCAGTGCTGGGGGATGGTTGGGCTCGATAGTATCGCAGGGCTTTTCCAGCCTGAATGATCCCGTGGTTCCGCGATTCTGTGCTTCCCGAGCCTGGCTTAGTGGCAGGACACTCTCCCGTGATTCCCAAGCCTGGTTTAGTGGTGGGACATTCTCCCATAATTCCCAAGCCTGGCTTAGTGGCAGGACACTCTCCC